AGGGCTTTTGGTTCCTAAACGCTGTAGATAAGTTCTCAATGGTTTCATAAACGATTCTATCGCCTCCCTGGTACTGGAAACGGTACGGGGTAATATTATAGAGTGGCGCTACTTTTAACCCTGGTGTTTGTTGGACACAGGGTCGCGCCTCATAATTGGGATATTTAACACTTGGTTGATCAAAGGGATGGAACTCGATGGCCCCTGCCCTCCGCCCTGTGTGGGAACCGAAGCCACCCCTCGGCTGGGATATGTTTATGGTTGTGCGTTTGTGCAGGAAACACCGCTCATAACTGTCAATATGCAAACAAACTGTTTGTTGTTGTAGGAATATATTTAAAACGATATATATCATCAGCTAATCTTCTTGAAGGGAAAATGGGTGTTAGCCCTTCATAAATCTACTTCTGATTAAGATGTTAATCTTTGTTCACTCTCGTACTTTGAAACCATCTAATCTGGGAATTGTTTGCATTTGGTGGTTCCAGATTATCGAATCATGGGTTTGGAGTAATGTCCCTTGATAAATCTATGCACGTTTCGTGCAGAAAACGTCAGGATTTTATACGAACAGGGTCGACAAAAGATATCTCTGTAAAGTGTTAAATAATAGTTAAGGCATTGAGCGTAAAGTAGATTACAAAACGTCCTCTCATTGTACCTATCAATAATAATAATAATAATAATAAAAATAAAAATAATAATAATAATAATAATAATATCGGCATGTCCTTTGGACTCGACAAATTCAACATTCTTCATTTGAAATGTGGCAATAATAATAATAAATCCATTGATAAATCCAATGAAATCATTTATATCATTGAATTTTCTGTCCCCTTTGACACTAATATGATTGACAAGATTGAGGAAAAACATGGCAAATATGCGGACATCGCTTTAGAAGTGTCACGCTTGCATCCATAGTACCAAATTGTCCGACTCCCCATTGTTCTCGGTGCCTTAGGTTTGGTACCTCTCAATCTGTTGACTGACATTGGGAGAGTACCCGGGTTTGCTTCCAGGAATACAGCCCTTCTGACAATCTTGGTAATGCAGAAGGCTGCACTGTTGGGGAGTCTTCACATTCTCCGAAAAATTCTGGGTGGGTTTGACTAGGCAGCGCTTCCTGGGAGAAGTCCCATTCGCTGTCTGGGTTTAATCTGTAAATAATGATAACAACAACACAACAACAACAATATAGTTTATGTTTGTGTCATATGTAATTTTCACTATATATCCATTCTTTAAATTTTTAAGATGCGAAAGACCTGGCTAAATTTGGCCTAAAAGATGATATAAATACATTATAAAATATATACATGGACATGCATTAAAATATACCAGTTTCTCAAACATTTGTGTGTACATATTCTTCTGTAACTACCTCAAAAAAAACACACACACACACACACACACACACCATGGGCGGATACGGGGGGGGGGGGGGGGGGGGGGGATGCGGGGGTGCGCACCCCCCTTTTTTTTCGAAAAAAAATCTTTATTTCTGTATAAACTACCACCAAAGACAACAAATAGATCTTAATTGTGCACCCCCCCCCCCCCCCCCCTTTTCAAAAAAGCTGTATCCGCCCATGCACACACACACAGACAGAGTGTAACCCTTTCTATCCGGACTTTATTAGTTCTAGACGATTTCTGATGGAAACATCTAAATTTACAGTAAAAATTGAACCGAAAATGAAGACAAAATTTGAAGCAATTCACAAATATCTGAAACGAAATCAGATATTGTTGTGAAAGACACACATTTATATACCATGAGTTAGATATTTTAGAAGAGGGTTTTTTTCCCAACAATTAGAAATAATCTAATATTTCCTTACACCCGTTTTTATATAAAAAAAAGGTCGTAAAATATTAAATGACTCATGTGGTGATGACACTCATTCTTTTTTTTGTATAAAAATAAAAAAAACCTTCAGTGATATATTTTACAAATTCATTAGACTTATTCTTAAAATAACCACACGAAAAGGCAGGTGATAAGAAGAAATAATCATATTTTTTATAATATAATTGGTTGTTAATGCAGTAACGTTTTCCTATCCTTCTCTTTTCATTTTGTGAAAGTGGGACTGTGGTATGCAGATGGTTCCTACAGTCACTTCCGTTCCCCGGATCTGTCTGTGGTCAGTGTGGGGGACATTGTGGGCAGTTCGTCTGGGTTTTCCGGCACATCCCATCTGGGTGCTAGTGCCAAGCAGCCCAGTATGCTGTATTTGTTGTACAAATGTGCTCTAATAGAAACAACCACGACCTTCCAGCATCTGCAAAGGGAGACAACTGCAAAATTTCCTTTCACATGAAGAACAATAAGTTGAACGTGTTGAGACAGACGAAGCGGGTTAGCGAGGAAAACAATGCCAAAGATTTTTACATTCCTACAAACAATGACGCGTTCATACGTACGGGCTCCTTAGCCGTAATTGCGGATTGTTATACATGAATAACCCGCTCGCCATACAACACACAACGAAACAAGCCGTCATTTCACTAACCCCAAACATTTGCCGCTATTACCAATAGTTTGGTGCTGGAACATTATAAAATTATTCTAATGTCATAAGATATCACAAACTGCGACCACAGAAACTGTATTTGTCAGAGATACCTGCACAGAACCTATTCCCCTCTGTCCCAACCACTGACCTATATAGTCAGTGAATAAAATTCACGTCTTACAAGTTAACGTGTTTACCGTGTCAGTGAAAACCGTATGGAATTCTGACAATGTTCCCCTTTGATAACCAGGACAGCCCGCTTATCGGAATTCTTGTTTTCTGACCAATTGTGAAATGTTTGTAAATGTGTCATCGATTTGATTTGTATCTGAAGCGTGCAAGTGGCCTCTCTGTCTTGTCGACTAGTATTCCTTCATAATCATCAATAACAAGATTCCTATTTTTCACGATATGAAATATATCTATGTGAGAATTATTAACAAGATTCCCATTTTTCACGGTGTGAATATATCTATACGAACATTACTCAAATGATGTAAATATATCTATGTGAGAATAATTAACAAGGTACCCATATTTCACGGTGTAAATATATCTAAACGAACATTACTGACAAGATTCCCATTGTTCACGATGTTAATATATCAATATCAGAATAATTAGCAAGATTACCATTTTCACGATGTGAATATTTCTATAGGATCATTACTAACAAGATTTCGATTTTCACGGTGTGAATATATCTAGATGATCATTACTAACAAGATTCCAAATATTCACGGCGTGAATGATAAACATGATTAAGAGAATCCCTATGAGCTGAGTTATTAACATTCCTGAATGATCATCATCACCAGCTTCCAGGTCCAAGGAGGAATATTCCTTTGTAATCATCATGTAATCAGTTCCCACTGACACGAAGTGTGAATATTGTAACATGATAATTAATTAACCAGCTCTTTATTGTCCGAAAGGTGTATATTCCCATGGGCGCATTAATAGCAAGATCATAGTTGAAATACTGCCACATGCAGCGTTAACCAACAAACAGACACATGTTCCGTAGTGTGAATATTCCTGTATAAGCCTATATTCCAATACAATATCATCAAATATGTAATATTGATATTTCTTAATTGGTTTTTGTGTTTTCAGAAATGTAGGTGTGTCTGTATATATGTAGATATGAATCATACTGTTTTCTCATTTTAAAAATTGCATCTGTTCCGTAATGGAAGGTTTCTGCAATTAATATTATCTTATCTTATCTAAGTATTAGTAACAATCTTCCCTTTAACCGATATCCTAGATAATCAATAATAAGCAGTGCTCAATTACCCGAAATGTGTCTCTTCTTATGTAAGTATCACCAGTAATATACAAGTTATAAAATGTAAAGTATATACATTTTTATACATAAGCATAACATAAGCATAACTAAACTCCCTATAAGCAGAGGTGTCTAATTCTTCCCCAGTGATTGTCCCCGACAGATCAGCATGTCTACCTGCCTCCCGCACACTACCATCCCGTCAGATGGCTGACACAAATGCATTTACCAGGAACAATTTACCGAAATTCAGGAACGCCGTATGTTGCATGTTTACAGGGCAAAAACCTCCATGATCACGCCTTAAACCAAGACGGGGGATTCCTTCCCTGGATAATGCCAATATGTATGGACAATCTTACAAACAGCCAAATGCCATCGGGCAGAATTGCATTCCCTTGGCCATTAAAGAATTCCGTCTCCCCATGGACAGAGTCCCCCCTCCCCCTCCCCCACCCTAATTTAGGCATCTCCCTTCTAAAGTGACAAGGTCGCTATTGGTGAGAGGTTGGCGAAGTCTGAGATTGAAGGCATCGCGCGTGATGGCTTCCATTCTCGCCTTTCTGTGGTTACAGTCTACAGCTGCCTGGAGTTGGGCCGGTTTCCAATCAGTGTAAAAACAATCGAAAGTGGGAAAAAAGCTTCGAAGAGGCTGTGAGTGTGCGACTTGTTGGGTATTCTTACAGCAAGTTGGCCTGGATTGGTTACCCTCTATCATTTCCTGTGAGGAGCTTGAGAAAGCAGTGCTGGTCATAGCTCTTGGGGCAAATAATAGATAAACGCTTGGCTTGTTGTTGGTGTAAACACAGCCTTGTGTTCATATGGAAACACATCTTGCACTTCTCCTCAGATACATACATTTCTCTTCACAAACGCTACATTACGCTATAGAAATTGGGTATTTTACCGTTTTGCGCATAGTGTGAAGCACGATACTGACAAGCAATGTATTTTGTCAGGGTCTTTTTTTGTTGTTTTCGGGCTACCCCTAGGGGCGACTTTTAGCATTCGCAGTTCTCTTATCTTTCAGAAAATTTGTGAGCTTGGAGGTGTTTTGATCTTGTGTATCGGCCTGGCTTTAGATCATCTATCTGATTACCGACTAAGAGAGTCTTTGTCAACACGACAAGGGTTAGGCCGTACATAGAGTGCCTGGTAGAACGAAAGAGGTATAGTCTCGGAGATATCCCACCTGTTGGTGTAAACTGTGGGCAAACATAGACTCACTGGAACTGTTGAGGGCACCGTGGATGCTGTACACCCTCCGGCGGGGGATGCTGCAGTGGGTAGGAACCAAATGGTGTATGTTCCCTATATGCAACATGTTTTATGCGAGTTATGGCGTTTATTGTTATGATAGTTTATTCCGGTGTTGAAGAAGTGATTGTTAGTTTATGGAAGATCATTAAATGTTTATTGTGGGCCCCGAGGTGTACTATTCAACACTGCTATATTAACATATTGCAAGTAGACGGAACATTTCAGTTAATATTGTTGTTATGACAGGTAGTATTTGCTGTTGACGTTGAGACCAGATCGAGACTCTGGTTACTATTTCTTCAAGGCGTGTTTTATAATATAATAGCCTTATGACAAGCATTGTTATCTTTTAGTTCTTTTCGAGACTGTTAAAAATGTGGGAAAATCTTATATTTGTGAATTACCTCACATTTGGAACAAAATTAGAGACAAAATAATATACAGAAATACATATAGAACATATTTTGTATCGAATGCACCGCTGGAAATGAACATAAAATCGTGATAAAAATGCGAAAATATTAAGCAAAATTATGTACAGTAGGTTTACTCTGCAGTTATGTGCCTGGGCTGTTAATATCGTGATTACATGATCGTTAATATTTCGCATATTCGTGCACATTGAAGTATTCTTTAACATATTCTCAAGATGGGCATATCTTAAATCTACGGAGAACGTTTCATTACGTTTCAAAATCTGTATGAATAATTGCCATACCCGTTTCACAATAATTGAACAATAATGTTACGCAGTATTACTAAATAATTCACCAAACCCGTTGTGAAAAAATATAATTCGTCGTCCGAATGTTGTACTGTAATATGTACTTAAATGGTGCTGAATAATCATTGCTTTATTCGGGAGTAATAGAACACGCCTTTATAGTTAGCAATATCAACCTAGCCCACCCGTAGAAGCTATAAATAATATTTAGATTTATCACGACGTATAATTACACCTATTTGTTAATAGCCTAATGAATTTAGCTAATAGATATCTGGCAAATCGCCATGATTCGTAATGCTATTTGACTGTATTTGGTATACCATTTACGTTCATATTTGATTAGCCTCGCAGTGACACTGTCCCTAATGCTATCCTTTCAAGCCCTTAAACTTCTTGAAAATCGGTTGACGCTCGCTAATATTTTCTCATAATCTTTGTAGAACGTCACACGTGCAAAGTAGAGTGTTTGGCGGTACACATCAAAGATCACAGTGTTTGCACGCGCCGAGAAATTTCACCATATCTATTTACCTACATCCAAGCAAACATGTTCATTTCATTCCAAAAGAGACGCTATATTTTTGATCTTTTGAAACACAACTGCATGAGCCGGCACGGAAATGTCCAGCGCGAGGAGCTGAAGGGCGTGGTTTACCATACCTTTCTCTTTTCCTTGAAAAATGTAATAAAAACGTTGTTCAGTATTTACTGATTGGAGGTTGAGAGCGAGTCCAGGTCGGTAATGCCGAGACACGATGTCACAACGCGCCCGGTAGAGTCTTCTGTCAATTAAACTCTATACATAAGATGTTTCTTGGGAAGTAGTACTTATATGTAGCTTCTGTAGAACGGTGTCGTGGAGTGCAGGTGCACATGTTAGTTACATTATGGAGAGCGCTCGGCATTGCTTGTTAAGGCACAGGTGTATCATGACTACATAGAATGCTATAGGCTCGCACTATGTGGGCACTAGGGATATAGATATGGGGTCTGTTCGCTTGACACTGGATCGCGCACCCACTGTATCATTATTAGACATTAGCTAGTTTTGTTTGACAATATATAATAAGGTTTAGGAAAGCATCTGCTTGATATATTTCTTATTTATTTACGTCAGGATTTGTTCTGTTGAAAGTTTCAAGACTCTTTTGAAACTTGCACAATTTGAGTTATGCAATTATTAAAGTGAGTCTCGAGGTAAATGTTTGGATGCTGATGTTAATGCTGTGATGTGACCTTAGGGAAATAGCACCGCGAATAGTTAGTTCTATTATATAATTTTAGGGTCTTTTTAATATCATAGAGTTATGGAAAAATCTTTTAAATATTTCCATATACATGTATTTCTATACAATGCAGCTGTGAATTAAAATATTTAATTGTGTAGACAAATGATTACTAATTCCACTATTAGCCCCATTCCGTAACGTCACGTCGTGAAAACACATTCCCTACATATAAAATGTTTCCTTTTCCAATCAAATGAAAGTTCTGTGATGCGGACGAGGAATTTAAATTTGCCAGAAAATTTCAGTTTATTGTGAAACGTGTGATCATTTAGTTTCCAGTCAACTTGATTCTGTTGTTTGTTTATCAGTGATCGGATGTTTGTGTTTATTCAGGAAGCATCTCTCGTGTGGCCTTTAGTCCGGGGGCAGAAAACCAATTCCATGACACCCTGATTCCTCCGTCAGCGATATGGAATTAAAGACGCGGTTTAAATCAGTGAAGCGGCTGAATCTGTTGTCATCGACGCCGGTGACAGAAGAGGCTGCTTACTGGTAAGGGGAGGTGAGCATTTTCAAATATTCACGTTTGGATAAACAAGGAGAAGTATGAAGACCCCGATGTGGTGACAAGCAGTAGTAGGCATGTCGTCACTCACGCCGTCTTTGCAAGTAGCTACGGTCATTTGATGAGTACAGCGGACATAGGAAATTTGATATCGCTTTGAGGTTTTGCCATCCATTGAAAGATGCACAGGAAGACACCATTGAAGCCAAGGTGGAAGAGAGCTATGGAGAATGCATTCATTTAAGTTCTTTATAGACATTAAGCCAGGCTACAGATGCAACCCCGGGGTCAAAAAGTAAATAATTGGTCGACTCGACCCAAATTGGTTTTAGTGGTCGTAGCTACCGGGGCGAAGTAGGGAATCAAAGGGTGTTTGTGTGTAGAAAGGAAGAGGTCGAATCTCATAAAAAGCACATCCTACGGGAGTATTGGATTTCAGTTAATCTTATCACTGGTCACTTATCAGGGTATCACGACAAGAAATCAAAGTAACAGTGGAACAATAGGTGGTAGCAATTTGAGATAAATGTTCTCTTGACAAAGGTAAGATGAAATAAGGTTAATGACAGAATAGAAATGTAAAGTTAAGCTTTCTTTGAACTGATGATATTTAAAGGTAAAGCTACCTGATTTGTAACATACACAAGTGTTGGATGAAGGTACTGGTCCATCACGGGTGTGTGGAGATTTATTATCTAAGAAATAACAGTTTTTATTGGTGAGTAGTGGACTTGAAGTCTTTGATTGGCATTTAGAAGTTGATAAAACACGAAGACACGGCACAACTTCTATACTGATTATAACAATGTCTCAGGGCTATCTCTTGCCCCTTCATTGGAAATGACGTAATGGTAAGAAGTGGCCCTGAAATGTAGCAAGAAAAAACAACAACCAAGAAGTGTCTGATGAAGGGGCACGATGTAGCCCTGAAACATCGCTACAAACGATACATGTGTTGATGAAGGCAAAAGAAAAGAAGTGGCCCTAAAACATCGCTACAAACAATAGATGTGTTGATGAAGGCGAAAGAAAAGAAGTGGCCCTGAAACATCGTTACAAACGATACATGTGTTGATGAAGGCAAAAGACAAGAAGTGGCCCTGAAACATCGCTACAAACAATAGATGTGTTGATGAAGGCAAAAGACAAGATGTAGCCCTGAAACATCGCTACAAACAATACATGTGTTGATGAAGGCAACAGACAAGAAGTGGCCCTGAAACATCGCTACAAACAATAGATGTGTTGATGAAGGCGAAAGACAAGAAGTGGCCCTGAACATCGCTACAAACAATAGATGTGTTGATGAAGGCAAAAGACAAGAAGTGGCCCCGAAACATCGCTACAAACAATAGATGTGTTGATGAAGGCGAAAGAAAAGAAGTGGCCCTGAAACATCGCTACAAACGATACATGTGTTGATGAAGGCAAAAGACAAGAAGTGGCCCTGAAACATCGCTACAAACGATACATGTGTTGATGAAGGCAAAAGACAAGAAGTGGCCCTGAAACATCGCTACAAACGATACATGTGTTGATGAAGGCAAAAGACAAGAAGTGGCCCTGAAACATCGCTACAAACGATACATGTGTTGATGAAGGCAAAAGACAAGAAGTGGCCCTGAAACATCGCTACAAACGATACATGTGTTGATGAAGGCAAAAGACAAGAAGTGGCCCTGAAACATCGCTACAAACAATAGATGTGTTGATGAAGGCGAAAGAAAAGAAGTGGCCCTGAAACATCGTTACAAACGATACATGTGTTGATGAAGGGAAAAGACAAGAAGTGGCCCTGAAACATCGCTACAAACAATAGATGTGTTGATGAAGGCAAAAGACAAGATGTAGCCCTGAAACATCGCTACAAACGATACATGTGTTGATGAAGACAAAAGACAAGAAGTGGCCCTGAAACATCGCTACAAACAATAGATGTGTTGATGAAGGCGAAAGACAAGAAGTGGCCCTGAAACATCGCTACAAACGATACATGTGTTGATGAAGGCAAAAGACAAGAAGTGGCCCTGAAACATCGCTACAAACGATACATGTGGTGATGAAGGCAAAAGACAAGAAGTGGCCCTGAAACATCGCTACAAACAATAGATGTGTTGATGAAGGCGAAAGAAAAGAAGTGGCCCTGAAACATCGCTACAAACGATACATGTGTTGATGAAGGCAAAAGAAAAGAAGTGGCCCTGAAACATCGTTACAAACAATAGATGTGTTGATGAAGGCGAAAGAAAAGAAGTGGCCCTGAAACATCGTTACAAACGATACATGTGTTGATGAAGGCAAAAGACAAGAAGTGGCCCTGAAACATCGTTACAAACGATAGATGTGTTGATGAAGGCAAAAGACAAGAAGTGGCCCTGAAACATCGCTACAAACAATAGATGTGTTGATGAAGGCAAAAGACAAGATGTAGCCCTGAAACATCGCTACAAACAATAGATGTGTTGATGAAGGCAAAAGACAAGATGTAGCCCTGAAACATCGCTACAAATGATACATGTGTTAATGAAGGCAAAATACAAGAAGTGGCCGTGAAACAGCGTTACAAACGATACAGAGGGTGTTGAAGAAGGGGGAAGACGTTGCCCTGAAACACCGTTACAGATAATAAGAAGTTGCTGATGAAGGGGCGAGACGTAGCCCTGAAACATCGTTACAAATGGTGCAGGTGTTGTCGTTACAAATGGTGCAGGTGTTGACGAAGGGGCAAGAAACAGCCTCGAGACGTCGTTACAATCAATAAAGAAGTTGCTTATCAAGGGGCAAGACGTCGCCCTGAAACATCGTTTGTTTCCAAAGACTGAAGAAGATGTAGAAATGATCAAACAGTCTCCCCGTGTTACATATGTCAAAGTAGACACTATCAACAGACACCACAATGAAATCGACCCCTTTTTCATCTTCATTTTAGCGAATTTATTTTTGTAAAACCTTTTCAGAGGAATGCTTTTAGTATCCAACCGTTTTCAAACAATGTTTTATATACATACATTCCACAAAGATCCACCACCTTTGCTAATATTGCAAAGAAATTTGATATTGCAAAGATACGTAATATCGCAATGGCGCTGAAAGTAATAAATGTGTTTCTTGTAACACTGAAATGCACTGGATGCAGTTTCCTGTAAGGTATTAATCGTACCTTAAAAACATGGAACAGTGATAAGAAAATTCGAATCCGAAACAAATACTACTCAAAAAAGGTTAAAGAACACCCTATTTCTTCATAAATGAGTTAACTGTCACGGCAGTTTTCTTTAACCTTTTTTGAATTGTATGTGTTAAAATGCGAACTGAAAATATCTAAAAATAAATGAATAATTTAAAACATATTTGCTTATTGCTCGATTGCCAGCTTGTTATTGCATTTCAAGTCCACGTAAGGACCATATACAGGCTCCAGCAACGGTACCAGACCACCAACACTACAGATGACCAAGGATCGTCAGATTGTGCGACAGCACCTTCAAGATCGCTTTGTTACCGCTACGGAAACTGCTCGAAAGACCATGGGGACACACCAGAAACGGACACCGTGCGTCGACGATTGACGAGCAGACACCTCCACTGTCACAGGCCACACCGAGGACCCATTCTGACACCACGTCATCCCTGGGACCGTCTTCAGTGGGCAACACAACACCAGCATTTGCGCCACAAGCAGTGGAGAAGAGTCCTCTTCTCAGACGAGAGCTGTTTCTGTATCTCAACAGTAGATGGCAGAGAGAGAGTCTGGCGACGCCGTGGGAAACGTTATTCGGATGCTTGTGTTGTTGAGAGAGACTTGTGGGGTTGTCCGAACATTATGTTGGGTGGAATTGGTCTTGCACAGAGGGCCAGCCCTGTGGTCTTCCAGAACATCGGTCCCGGGAGAGGCAATGGTGTCACAGCAGCTCGGTACATTGATCAAGTCTTGAGACCACACGCCATACCTCAATTGGCACGTCGCTGCAACCACGAGTTGAGCAACAAGAGACTTCCTCTAGCAGAATGGCATCAGAACTATGCAGTGGCCTGATCTCAGTCCCGATTTAAATCCCATTGAGCACCTGTGGGACGAGATTTAAAGCATCTGAATGACATCCGACCAAGGCCGACAACTGCAGCTGAACTGCGTCAGGCCTTCATCAACCGCCTCATCCATTCCATGTATCGACGTTGCGCGGCAGCCATCAATGAACATGACAGACACATGAGATACTGACTTATGATGCCATTTTCTCAGAGACTAGTGTTGTGTTTCACTTTAAGAACATTTCACACTTTAATTTCAACCTTGATGATCAGTTTTGCCAAGTTTCATCTTTTTAATATGTCTCAAAGTATTTTTACAGTGTTTGGACAAATAAGGTTTCTCATATATCTATCCATGGTGACGTTTCTTTTGCGGTTCAGTATATATGTACTGATCTATATTTCCAGACCACTGATACCCATGATGCTGATATTGTAATTCTCGTCTTTGAACAGATTCGGTAAATGGAACGAAATTCCTGCATTTGAATTTCTGCACATTTCAACCAATTTACAGCAAACACACATTTCAATTGTCTTCCGTTCACGTAAAGGTTCCCTAATTCTTGTTCTGCCATGAACACATTCATGTCAATGACATCGCATAGAAAGGTCAAATGTCACCCACCCCATAAACCGTATAGTTTAGAATTTGACGAATTAGGAATAAAAGGGAGGATTCGGTTGGCATGGTAACGGAAAACAACGAAACATCCGAAAGCTCCTGCGGGAGAAGAAAGCTGTCGACTCAGTGACTTGCAATGCTGCTTCTTACATGACAAACTATTGCCAGTTGGAGCGAACAATACAATCAAACTACACAAGACATGGAGGAAATGCGACACCGACGGCCGCGACCACTCAATACATCTGATACTACAGAGCGTGATGCAGATCGCAGTTTAACGTGTGAGTGGATTGCACTCTTTTGTTGTAATGAGAGTAACGTAATGTGGACACCCGTT